CCTGGTGTCGTCTCAGTTTAATAACAACAAGTTTAGTCAAGAGTATAATGTGATTTCATGAAACTGCTCCACCTGGTGTCGTCTCAGTTTAATAACAACAGGTTTAGTCAAGAGTATAATGTGATTTCATGAAACTGTTCTACCTAGGGTCGCCTCACTATAATAACAATAAGTTTAGTCAAGAGTAAATATGACTTCATGAAACTGCTCCACCTAGTGTCGTCTCAGTATAATAACAACAGGTTTAGTCAAGAGTATAATATGACTTCATGAAACTGATCTACCTAGTGTCGTCTCAGTATAATAACAAAATATTTAGTCAAGAGTATAGCGTGATTTCATGAAACTGCTCCACCTAGTGTACAGTGTGAAATAAAATATGTAAAGTATGTTTGCTTTTCATTAATACAAGAAATTGGAAATTACAAAAACCATATGTCTATATATTTGAAAACGTCTTTCTTTTTCTAGATCATGATGTGTTTGTTTCTGTGTTTTTTAAGCCCAAAGCTAGATAATGGGCTATATGCGCTTTGCCCATAACGTCTATTGAAACCCGGTTTTTAACGTATAAAACTTCAAGTTTACCACTTAACCACTGGGTGGGGGTGCTTAATGTTAAGGTAAATAGTGGCCGAAGGCTTGGAAATATATATATATATACATATAACAGCTTAAATATATTCACTTTTATGCGTTAGTTATACAATTTCTTTCGACAGCTATAAGTTGTTTTAAACACAGATAAACATCGTTTAAAGAATGAAAGAGGAACCTATAAACATTCAAATCTAAGTAAGAAAATTAAATTCACTCTTTATGTTTTGTTTTCAATAAATTATTGTTAGATTTTAAATGCAATACACCATACGTAGTCCCTTGGTAGGACAGCGTAGGTTTACAGAATTACAACGCTAAAATCCGGGGTTCGATTCCTAGCGGTGGACACAGCAGATAGCTCAACATGGCTTTGCTCTAACACAACCAAGCCAAACTACCTTATGTAGCCATTACCAACCCTAAAAACACCCTCATTTGAAGTGTCATTATAATGATTACTAATACGAGAATTTCGACCAAGTTTCTTTCTTTGTTTGCTCGAGTATTAGCTACTAGAGGGCTATCTGCGCCATCAATCCCTAATTTAGAATAAATAGACCAGATGGAAAGCAGTTAGCCAACAGTATCTAATGCCAAGTTTTGGGCTACTCTAATTGAATGGTATGAATTGATCGTCACTCTAAAAACGCGTTCATCATGCCAACGTGCGAAACACGATGCTGCAGAAGCGGGACGCTAACCACGGACCCTCAGTGGGATTCACAGTCCAATACGTTAACCACTATGCCTCTAGCCACCTATCGGCCATAGAAATAAATCTAACTTCGATCTTTTACATTGTTAATTAGTTTAATCCGATAGTGTCGTTACGAGAAAGATCAAACTGAAAATATACACACCTGGCAAGCACATGTTTTCCATATAATCACTGTTTGGATCTCGGCGAAATGCATCAGGTGCAGTGTACTTGGTCTCTCGGCTGATTCGACATCGCTGACCTGCACGATCAAATGTTGCCGAGCGACAGACGAAGTTATATTCGTTGAGGCATTTGTCTTGACATTCGGTTCTGTTGAAAGCAATCACTTCCTTGTCGTCATCTCGCTCAAATTTGTACCCTGGTGTTCTTTCGAAGACATATAGTCGGTCAACACATTCCGTGCTGACTTTTGTGGCTGGAGAAACAAAAATTTTATTATCACAACTTATATTATTTATGTGTTAAAGTGGGGGTGGTCGTGTGGGGCGAAGACTTTGAGAAATCTTGTTATATAAGCATATCTCTCTCTTTTCGTTATCAATCGTGTGTAAATTTGGGTTAAAAAGGCTGGAGAATTTCGATAATAGTGGAGTTTGTAGCTGCAGATTACGTTTGTTCATTTGGTGGTAACAGTTGAATTCTCGAGTCCACCTCCCTCTTCCACTCCCGTGACGTTTCTCCTCATATGAGTAATTTCAAAAATGTGGAACTTTTTTAAATAAAAGCTCGATTTTAGTCAAATAAAAACTGTACCAAAAAAATGCTAATTAAAGTTAAGAAAGCTAGTTTTTACTTTTCATCCTTTCTTGTATAGAAATTTATATATACGTGACG